CCCCCCCCCCCCCCACACACACACACACACACCCCCCATTTTAAAGTAAAGGCCCCACAAAATGAATTCTAACTGAAATGCTTGTGATGAAGCCTGCCGTTTAATAACCTCTGTTTATGTGTGTCAAACATTAAGATTATGTCTCCTCTCCCCCTCGCTCTCCCACCCAGTCCCACCCTTTCAAAATAAAAGCCTCATGGATTAACTGTATTTAAACGTTAAGCTCAAAATTAGACTTTTTTGTTGAAATAATGAATGCTCTTACTAATACTGCGACAACTACTGCTACTAATATTTCTAGTATCACTCCTACTACTGCTACTACTTCTACTGCAACTTTTGCTGTTGCTACTATTACTACTTCTACTACTACTACTGATACCATCACTATTATTTCTACCACTACTGCTATTACTACCACTACCACTACTATTATTACTTAAACCACAACTGCTACTACTGCTATTCCTGCTACTACTACAGCTATTAGTATGACTGCTACTAGTACTACTACTACTGCTACTTCAAAAACTGACTTTACTATTACTACTACTTATTCTACTACTACTACTGTTATATTAAATACTATGACCACTACTACAGCTATTACTACGACTACTGATACTACTTCTTCTTCTAATTACTAATACTTCGACAACTTCTACTACTACTGCTACTACAAATATCACTACTGCTACAACTAGTACTTATTCAAATGCTACTAATACTTCTACTGCTAATAATACTTATACTGCTAATAATACTTCTACAACAACTACAACTTCTACTACTACTACAACAAATATCACTACCGCTGAAATTTTTTTAAGCTACAGAAACCGTTCGAATATCAAAATGTTCAGCTCTTTCAGGAGAGGGGTGACATGACTTCATATTTGTAATCTTTCAACTTTTTGAATTATTAAGCTTTTTGCAATTGTTTTTAAATTGGATATCTATTTTCAGCAATGTTTTTGCAATTCATTTCAGCTTTCAGCATTCCAACGCATTTTCAGCAGGAAATGCATTTTCTAGTTCATTGTATATTTTGTACTGCTTCTCATTCCATCAAATCACAATTTCCAGGGAACTCATTAAAATGTATTCATGATCTTCATGTATTACGATTTGCTCATCAAACATGATGCAGTATGTGGAAGATAACCAAATTCTAAATTCCACGAGATAAAACACACAGTTTTAATTGCAGGGAAAGTATCGGGACATTTTTTACCGGTGACTCAAATGCTAGAGAGAGGTGGGGAAAGTAGCAAAGCCGCATCTGTGAGGCGTGATCACCAGGATAATGAGCACGCCAGCCCATTAGCAGTCGTTAGCATCGTCTTACTCCACGCTAATGAAATCCATTCCGCCCAGAATTCCCTCCCGGGTATGAAGTAGCACCTGAGGTCACTGCAGCCTCTGCGAGACTCGAAGGAGGCTCACACATTAATTGATTGTTGGTTCTCAATGATTAACGATTGCTGAGACTTGTAATTAAATCCTCAATACATCACTGCAAGTGAGGAGTGGATGAATGGGAGCGAGAGGTAGAGACGGAGGAGCAGGAGGCTGAGTGAGAGGAGAGGAGAGAGGGAGACTCAGTCGGGAGCCTGAAGTGCATTTTACACTATATTTATGTCATATTTATGTCATGCAGGAATAAAAGGGAGAGACTTGACAGCTGAGAGCACCAACTTGGAAGGACTCATGCTTTTGAAGTATGTTGAAGTTCTCTGTAGACTATGGCTGTGTTTGATCAGAATCTACACAGTGAGCAGACATGCCCTCAGTTTGATTTTATTGTTCTACAGCTCACACAACACCACCTGGTATTTATGGCTTTGGATTTCACAGATAGTTTCACAGCTGGTTGTTTCATTTGACATGTTCTTCCGCACTCTTTAGTTCGGGGCTTGTCAGCGATGTCAGATGTTGGGACACCAGAGTCCATCACTATAACACAAAACAACAGCTGTAATGATGGCAGAAGACACGACTAAGAGTCTGCAGCTGACTAAAGCAGTCCTGTGAGCTAACATGATCACATTCTAACAATGCCACGCTAACATGCTGATGTTTAGCAGGTATAATGTCCACCATGTTTAACGTCTTAGTTTAGCGTTTTAGCATGCTAACATTTGCAAATAAGCACTAAAAACTAGCTGAAACTGATGGGAATGTCAAAATCGATGTTCATAAACCAAAGTTTTATGGCAAATTCATAGTTTTACCTGAAGATAGCACTAGAGGCAAAGTTAAGGGATGCACTAATTTATTACAATTCATTAAGAGGGGAACATGGATATTTCAACTAAGTTTCTACAAGTGAATCCATCCAATAGTGGTCGAGAGCTTTCACTCAAAACCACATATGTCAACCTGCTGGGATGGTTAGATGAAAAGTCCAAGCCTCATCAAAATCATTACAACACATCATCACACACACCAGGCACCATGAATGTCTGGACCCAGTGATGGATCAACCAACCGTCCCTCGAGAGAGCCACGCTGCTAGCATGGTTAAAAGATGTTTGAGTTGTTTTTCTATCACAACCAGGATCCTACTTTTGTACAATATTGTACACACTCAGTGAATTGCTCAGTATGTACAATATTAGTCAAACAACCAGGCTCATTTTAAACAGATCCCCAGTTTAGCCTCTGTGGAAGAGAAAAACAAAGATAGCAGCATTGTTCCGCCACATCACCGTGGTTAGAGATCCCAGGTGTTAACTTGGTGAGCACAACTAGTGGCAAAACTAGTTGTAATAAACAGATTCATCAATTTAAATCTCTAAACATCTGTATCAGTTAGTTATGTTAGTTGAAATCAAAAGAGTATGAAACGCAAACACTTATCATTGAGCGCAATCTTCCTTAAAATAGAAAAATGAAAATGAAATCAGCACTTCATAAACCCATTTGAACCTGAAATAATCAGTGTGAAGAAGTGGATTTCATCGGGGCCCCTGGAGAGGGACAGATGGTCTGTTTGTTCCTCGTACCCTGGCAGTGAGGAGATGCCATTACCCTGGGATCTCTGCCAGACACACACCACCACGGTCCCTCACCGGTGCCAAGACGTCCTGGACAGACGGGAAGTGTGTGTGTGTGTGGTACTAGTGCTCGGGGGCTGGGGGGGTTAAAGAGGTTTGTGCTGCCATTCTGCTAAACGGTTGACGTGTGTGTGTGTGGCAAGAGTATAAACAAGCTAACAGAGGAACCCAAACAAAGCCTGAAGAGCGTGAGCACGTCTACGCGGACAGAAGACAACAGATTACTGTGAGTAATCACGTTAAAGGAGGAAATCGAGTTCATGTGTTGACTTTAAATCCCAGTGTACCCGTGTTATAGCCGGTAATCACGTTTCCCTTCTGCGCCCGCCTAAAAAAGGATCTGACATCATTATGAACGCTATATTGTGTAGGAGGCTGATACCTGTGGTGAGTGGGTAGTTAGCAGGTGGTGGACGAAGAAAAGGAAGAAGACACCAAAGCTCAGATCACTCTGTTTGACTGATTTCTAGGAAGTGCAGAGCAGAAATATCCCAAAGATGTAGTCAAACTAACAATTAATACTGTTCCCCCTTTGAATGTGGAGCTCCTCCCTCCCGTTCTCCTCTCTTCCCCTCCCCTCATCTATTTTTCAGCAATCTGTTTTTCGCGTAGCGCTCAGAGCTGCCGGGCTTGATTAATAGTCAGGTGTCCCGGCTGTTTACCCCACCCGCCCTCTCCACCGATTCCCCATCCACCAAATCAAACGCCACCATCTGGGGAGCCGCTTTGTACCCCCTTCAGTTAGCCGGCCCACGGGTCAACTCAAGGTCATCATAGAGAGGAGAAGGAGGAGCAGCGAGGGATGCTGGGTAGGATGGAGAGACACCTGTCCTGCAGGACGCTCTGACAAGCCACTTAGGTTTGAGTAATTTGTCTGTCAGCGGTTACTGATGAGCAGGCCTCGGACGCGGACGCACACGTGCACAGCGCTCAGCGAGCCATTAGTCATGATAGGCCCTGCCTCGCACATCCTCTGCATAATGTATAAGGTTTTCAATGGGAGTAATACGGCCTGCGTTCGCAGACTAAGTGAATAAGGGGAGGCCGATTGTGTTTGCGGCGGACGGGTCCTGCATGTAAATTGATGAACTACATAGGACTGAAAACCTCTTACAGCAAAACGGATGAAAAACTAATTAAAATTCCCCGTAACACTCCCGCACAGAGTGCAACAGGAGAGCAATTTAGAGAGCCAGCAGTCCTCACAGGTGCAGTTAACATTATAATACCGTCAGTCCCCCTACCCTCGCCATGTGCAGTTAATGAAGCCCAATTCATAATTTATCTAGTTTTACAGCTACTCTCTCTGGAGCTTTTATTGTAAACAAACAGGGTTTTGTTTTTTTACCACATTGTTTGAGTGCATTTCATAGCTCGTAAAACCTTTGCAAAGCCTCTATTTGTGAATGTTGGAGAACCCACCGTCTTGTTTCTTCTTCGCTGCTTGTTTTTCTCGTGCACCGCTGCTTTTAATGGGGCATTAAGGCCACCAATACATGCACGACTGCCCTTTTTACTCTGCATGTTCTTTTTTATGTCAGACTTGTGGCATGAATGCGCACCCTCAAGAGCTGGTCAATGATACGAGGGCACGCTCATCAAACATTGTCAAAATTCCACAGTACAATCAGGGCTTTAAAGGAGAGTTAACATTCAGTTTCTCACCATCACACAACACACTATCCTTGAGGCCTACCAGACATGCTAAATCAAACTCCTCTGCTGGTGCATTGCTACGTTTCTTGGCGCACTAGTTGGCATGAAATTGAACACATCCCTGCGTTGCAGAAGGGTTAGGGTGGCGGCGTATTGTGGGATGATGAAATATTAATCCAGTTGGAGTAACAGATGAGTTTGAAGTCTTATCAGACCCCATAGCGAGATCATGATGTACACAGTATAATACGGCATTCACTTTACAAAGTAATGCCCCACAAATGAGCATTTGCACGTATTTGATGGCATTTCTTTGCGTTGCACCAAAAGTTGACCCTCGTTCCACTGTTTTTCGGGAGCAGTCAGTGTCGGCACCCATTTAAATGAATTAGGGGGTTACTTTTTCCAAACAGTAATGTTGTCTATGAATTTCCTTCTGCCGCATGTCTACAGTGTGTTTAATTCACAACTGTGTTCGTGCTACTTAGACTAATTCGACTGTGTGTCGCTCGACAATCTTCTGGTGTCCTCCGTCTTCTAATGCCCATTTGTAGTATGTTTTACAACCTGGACACTATTTCCTCATGTTTTCGTGTCTAAGTGACTAATGGGGACAACAATTTTTGAAGCTGGTCCAGTATTGAGGGAGAGCGCTGCAAACGGCAGCCGCTAAACGGGGCAGCTAAAAGGTCTTGTTTTTGCCAGTGAAGGGCTCTCGCAAGATTTCAGAAGGAGACTTCTCCTCTCTGTCTGTCTCGCTCAATGCTGGACTAATTTCAAAAAAATGTTGTCCCCATTAGTCACTTAAAACATTGGGAAAATCAGGTCCAGGTTAAAAAATAGCGAAGTTAACCTTTAAAAGAAGGATGAAGTGAAATGAAAGAGAGCAGAGCGGGAGAAAGACGTGGAGCAGTGAAGCTAAAGCAACAGAAAGACGTTCAGAGGCATTGCTCCTGCTACCTCAGTGTCACATTCCCCAGTGTACAGACCCCCAGCATCTCCCTCTGTTGTAAGCAATTTCACAGCCCGTCTAGCTTCTGGCTTGCCTCCCCAAAAATTTGATAGCCAGCAGCAGTCACTTGTGCACACACACACACACACACACACACACACACACACACACACCTCTTAATTACATCTGCTCATAGCATGACCAGAATGCTAAGTAGCTGTTGAATATAAAGACTGGCTCCTCAGACATTTCTGGACCACTAGCTGCTCATTAAAATTCTGTCCTTTGATCCCTCCTTTAACTCTGCTCCTCTGCCGTGTAGGAAGAAGACGAGGAACATAAAAGCCACCAGCTTGACTTTAAATTGAAATAGGTCCACTGAGAATATTTCATTTATGAAAAATAAAATAAAGTCACTATCAATGACAGAATGGCCAGAGTAAACGCAGCTAATAACAGCAGATGCTATGTTAAGGCTTGCCAGATGAGAATTGAATTAACAATTATCCAATTAACAATAATTGATGCCCAAGGAAATGCACTTACTTTCAAATTTAGATAAACATAACCAATGTAGTGCCTGAATGCTGCATTTCACTTTAAAAAAAAACATTGGCTGGAATTTAAATATCATCATAACATAGAAGAATATTTATTAATAATATATTATATTATTATTTTCATTATTACCAATTTACTGAAGTATCAGAAAAAGACATCCAAATGATTCACAGTCAGGTCGTTACTTCACATCCAAACCTTTGACATAGTCATAAGGCCCCGTGTGTCTCCACCTGTGTAGGATGTCCTCCTGTCTGTCTATGCATCAGTGATTCTGTCCCTCCTGTCAGCAATAGAGAGGCAAAGTCCCTCGTCTTCCACTCTCCCTCGTTGGGAAAAATATGTACGAAAGACAAATCATTATTTTATCCTGTTTGAATTGTGGCATAAATTACACATGTGATGATCATTTTTCATGTCAAGAAAGTATATAATAATTTATTAGACAGACAGACACGTACTTATGGTGGTTTACCAGAGGAGGGGGGGGGGGGGGGGACTTTGCCCCTCTACATGTTAGTTTCCATCTGAGATATCTATGAATGGGATTTCCATGCCTGCGGAGGTGAGAGGGTTCTTCCTTGACCTCATCATGGTGCTAGAATTATAGGGAAAAGGCAGAAAGACAGAACGTAATGGCTGTTGACAGTGCTACAGATGCACTTTTTAAAGATGTCGGCACCAATAGGAGCTGCTAGCTGCTCCTAACGGATTGTGAAAAAGCCAATCTGACTGTGATGTGGAAGCATAAAGATTCACCTGGTCGGCTGCATGTGGATCACGGCTCTCTGCTCTGCCAGCTTTCCCTCTGCTCACAACTCTGAGTGCAAACATTCTGGTTTGAGAGATATGACATTTAGTCTTGATCACTGGTAATGGGTTCATTAGCGTAGCATCCAAAGCTCACTCTCACTAAACTAATGACACACATTTCGCTGTTGCCAGGAAACGGACTCCGGGGTCTACACCTGCCTGGCTTCCAGCTCCAGTGGAGAGACCAGTTGGAGTGGAGTGCTCACAGTCAAAGGTAAATTGTCTCTGCATGATTTAAATGCATGCAAATGACAAGCAGCTATATATGCAAAATTATTTGAATAAACCTTTTGCACAGCTGAAAACCGAATCTGATTGTCACTCTTCTGTTTCTGCAATATTATTAATTTGGCTAACTTTGAAACAGTCTCTGTGTAACACTTCACTGTTTGAATTAACAGCAGTGAAGTTATTAGTTATAGATTTGAGTAGGACTGCAGATTAGAGCATAGTTGTCAATATGAGATATTTCTAAAAGGTCGAAGTAACCAGGCTCCTTGTGACTTCTTATTTGCTCAAATGAAACATCTTGCCAGGTCTAATGAACCTATGCGGGTCCTGGAGCTGTTGCTGGGCAGACTGCAAACATAAATGTCGGAAAGTTTATGAATGTGAAGCTTGATGTTGACAAAGAGCCGGCCCTTTTTTGGGATGAATAAAGGTTGAAACACACTAACGGCCTCGGTCAGGGCACAATCGAGAGATATCGGTCGATGCTGCAGCTCAAAGCACACGCTGCTCTGTGAGGCTCTGATCTTTTTACCTTCTCCACAACCCATCAGGCATTAAATAAGACTTCAAGCTGGAGAGATTGCATCAGTGGCATTAAACACTGTACTTGTATAGCAGCTTTCATCCAAGAAATGTAGCACAACGTGCTTTAGAATAAAGAGAAAGAGACGCAATGAACATAAAAACAGGGAATTAAATAGAGTAACAAGCTGCTCTGATGACACATAAGGTTGTTATTTGACTAATAGCGCCGTGATGGTTCGTTAAGATCCAATAGTTCCAATGAAAAGCAGAAACTGTGAAGTCTGTTAGAAGTGAGGAAGTCGGCCCGCAGCGACGTTGATGCAAATGTTCAGTCAGCATTAGATTACACAGAGGACATTATGAGACGCTCATGTTGATGTCTCGTCTCCTTCCTGCCTCCATCTTTGTCTCCTCCCTCACCCTCCAGAGAGTGCAGACCCGTCGGTCGCCCAGGCTGCGGAGCCCTTCCAGCTCCCAGGTCCGCCGCACAAACCCATAGTCACGGACGTGTCCAAGAACAGCGTCTCTCTGACCTGGCAACCCAACGCCCATGAGGGGGGAGCAGCCGTCACCGCCTACATCATTGAGGCCTTCAGGTGAGTTCCCCAAAATCTAAGATACACACTCGTTCCCTCGTTGTTGAGTATCTTCACTGCTTTACCCGTCTGCTATTTCAGAGAATACTTTTGTCTCTAATCATACATGTTCTTTATTTAACAGTCCAGGCTGTATTCTTCTTGTGTTGAATATCTTGAAATTCAACAATTTGAATGTAAAAGCATCTTTCTTGTCAGAACAGAAGACCTTTTTCATTACGGGACACTAAAACATCTTCACTGATTTCCAGACTAATGCAATTCTTTCATGCTTTGCAGTTCTTTAAAGAGAGTCGTGCTGCCACACGTATTCATTAGTATTAGACCTTGAAAAGACAAAAACTCAACAGAGCAATTTCATTGATTAAATGTACGAGCAGGAGTGCATTTAATTTCAGGTTTGGCCAGGCAAAATTATTCAAAATATGTCAGCAATGTAACAAGCATGCGAGAGGACTCATTTGTACACTCATGAGCCGTTATGCACTACAGCAGAAAGTGCCACTTGAGTGGAAGTCCATCTTGGATTAATTAGGGGGATTTAGTTAGTAGATTTAGCTGAGCAGGATAGGCGGCTCCACGGATGGACGGAGGCCTCCAGATGAAGATAGGATGGTGTTATGGGGAAATGTGTCCCTTCGACTCGATATAGAGGAGAAGACCGGCAGAGCTTAATCAGATCCAGACGTCCACTGTGGCCCGTGGCAGCGGCGGAGCGTTTCCAAGTAACGCACGCTGATTCTTTATAAAGCAGCTGGACGGGACCGCTGGGATGTCTGCAATAACATTTCTTTGCCTGGGGAGCTGAGGTTTGTTTGTGAGAGTACAGAGAAGAGCAAAGGGTTGGGGCACGTGTGTGTGTGTGTGTGTGTGTACATATGCAAGGTGTAATAGTGTTTATTTAATGTAAGATGGTAGACGTTTCATACTCCTGGTGAGACTGTATTCACTTTCTCTTGTCTGGAGTCACATCCTTGTGTGTGAACTCCCAACTCCTTCACAAAGTTACCTTGAATCCAGCTCCAGCATAGGGCGGCCTACACACACACACACACACACACACACACACACACACACACACACACAAGATGAGTATTCATGAGTCGTTTTCCTCTTTGGTCTAATTGTGCAGTTCAGCACTACAGAAGCTCCTTCACCACAAACCCCCACAGTACCCTTGGGGGAATTCTAAAAGTGTCAAAGAAATGGTTGGAGAGGCCTTTGTGACTGCCGCTCTACCAAGGTGACAGTGGATTCACGGAGGAAGAGGAAGAGGCGGGATGAGCAGCGGCAGGATAATGTATCTGGGGGGGTGCCACAAGGCTAAGAAGATACCCTCCTTTCCCACCGGCAGCTGCGGCTTCTTACAGGCCCCATTACATTATTCATCAGGACGGCAAATTGCATCAGTTGAAGATGTTCTCGCGAGCACAAACTTCTCTCAGTGACTTTGCTCACATCTGCTATTGTTTAGCAGATAAGAAATATGAGAGGGAGCCAAAAATAGATCCCGCTATCGCCTGGAGATCTTCTCAAGCTTTGGTTAAATTGTGCGGCTGCACATCAAATCAGCATCGCAAAGCAGTACTGACACTGGTTCAGTGGTGGAATGTAACTAAAGGAGCCTTCCTTTACTCAAGTATCGTACTTAAGTACACATGTGATTGTACCTTACTTGAGTATTTTATTGTACTCCACCTTAATCAACTACAAGAGTAAAATGCTGTGAGACATTAATGCAGGAGTAATAATAGCCTAATGACCTTTGTTTAATAACTGTTTGCATTCTAATAATTTGGACAGATATGAAAATGTATATTTTAACACTGGCCACTCGAGATAAATTTCACATACACAAATCTAAATATGCCTTGTCATCCCATTTAATAGGTTTTAACGCAGTCTCTAAAACATGTAAATAATAAGACAGGTTTGTCTACCATGCTTTTATATATTATAAGCAGTTATCCATTGAGTACATCATTGCTGTCATGCTATTTAGTTTTCTTCTCTCTCTCTCTTCGTCTCTCACATTCATCTCCCTCATTTTTATTTGAGTCTGTCATTTATCTTTCTTGACGATATATCTGGAGTCTTGGATGTCTGACTTTGTAGCGTTTATTTTCTTAATAAATATGTTTAATAAATCTAAAATGCTGCATAGATTCTGTCTGAGGAAACATTTTGATGTTCAGGATGTTTCAGTGTAACATTAAGCGCCAGACGATGCAAGGCAGAATGAATAGACTGAGATTAGGTTAAAGATCAAGTTTGCTCATTAAATATCATGTTGCATCCAAAACTGAATCATTTGTTTCTGCTTTCCTCTCACAGCCAATCAGCGGGAAGCACGTGGCAGACTGTAGCCGACATGGTCAAGATGGAAACGCACACCATCACCGGCCTCCTCCCCAACACCATCTACCTGTTCATTGTCCGAGCCGTCAACGCCTACGGCCTGAGTGACCCGAGCCCCATCTCTGAGCCCGTCAGAACCCAAGGTCAGTCTGCGCCTCTCTCATGACTCGCATGGAGACTCGTGTGAAGAACACCACCGCTGTCCTGTGTGATAATGCATCGGTAGCAACCCTTTGAAGAGTGTCTGTGTTTCCCCTCAGATGTGAGTCCAACGGGTCAGGGAGTGGACCACAGGCAAGTGCAGAGGGAGCTGGGAGAGGTGGCCGTCCAGCTGCAAGAGCCCGTCACGCTGACAACAGCCTCCATCCGAGTGTCCTGGACTGTGAGTGGCTCTTTGTGGGTCTATGCTTAGGGATGGTTGAGGGTTCAGTTCTCCACTTCTCTTCTCTCTTATCTTTTTTTAATTCCCCCCCCTCGATTCATCAAGGTTGACCGTCAGTCTCAGTACGTCCAGGGCTACCGTCTCTTCTACCGACCCAGCGGGGGAACCTGGCTCCTCCAGGACATCAACTCCCCCTCCGAACGCATCACCGTCCTCACCGGCCTGCTCAAAGGAACCGAGTACGAGATGAAGATCCGTCCCTATTTCGATGAATTCCAGGGAAAGGACAGCCGAACGTTACTGGTCCGAACCCCGGAGGAGGGTAATGAATCTGATGACTTCTGAAAACGTGTCCGTACCAGGAAGAGATTCAAAGAAAAGCTTCTGTTAATAAACCAGGCCAGGCCCTTCTTCTTTGACATTGCAGGGCCTTGGAAATGGCTGTTCATTAGCCTGTCTGGCACCACATGAATCTCAGTAACGTTATCTCATTTCGGGGTTAATTTTATATCCTCTGCAATTTTGGGTTCATTTATATTGATCCCACTTTCTATTAAATTCAGCTCCACACACTGGTTTTTGCAGCCGAGGTTTTCAGCAGTTTGATATGAGTTGATCCAAAGTCTATTGAAAACAAGAGAGATTTTTTTTTCTTATAGACTTTGGATGGACCTGCCTGAGTAGCTTAGTCTGTCAAAAGAAAAAACAAAACATGATTAAATGTTTAAAGAAAAAGATCAAACTTGATTCTCTCCTGCTACAGCTCACTTTCATGTTTCTCGACTTGTCTTTTTTATCTCCTCGCTTTTATTGCCTTTTAAATTTAGTTTTGTACTCACTTGTCATTGTGCTCACCATAAGTATGTTGCTGTAATGACATGAATGATGTCGCCCCCACCTCCCCAGTCCCCAGTGCCCCACCCAGAGCTGTCACAGTGGTTACAGTGAAGCTAAGCAACAGCTCCAGCATCAGCGTCTCCTGGGAGCCTCCGCCCAGCGAGATGCAGAACGGCATCATCCAGGAGTACAGGGTAAACACGCCTCAGCAGTGTCACTGCGTTCTCATCTGAAGGCAGCAACGACTGCTAGACAACACAATCCTACTACGGCACGCTTCCTTTTAAACGAAATTTGCATTAAATCCATATGAATTATGAGATTTCCTTAATTATAGTTGTACCAGTCACAAATGAGGAAGCCGAGAGCTTTCGGAGGATTCTGGACGGTCACAAGATGACCCTAATATTTAGTTCATTCAGGTTACATGCAGAGATTAAAAACAATTCAAAGGGAAAGAAAAATCCTCAGGCTGTTTCAGTAGGACTTCAAACGTAGAGCCGAGCACACTGGTTAGTGGTCAAGTTCAATGTCTACTGTACATTTAACACGGAATATCTGACTGATCAAAGTGATGAAATATTACAGAATGTAGTTCACTATTTCGTCAGTGAATGAACATGAAAACACACCCTCGACTGAGCCCTATAGACTGATAGGAGACTGATTTTTAAAAGTGTCACAAAGCCAAACCAGAGGCCCGAAATGAGCCGCCTAATGAATTCAAAGCCATCTCTGTGAATCCCACCAGGTTTGGTGTGTGGGCAGCAGCGGCGGCGACAACCAGACACGCTACTTCATCAACAGGACGGTGGACGGGAACACGTTGTCCACAGCGCTGAAGGGCCTGATGCCTGGCGTGCTGTACCAGGTGGAGGTGGCGGCGGTGACCGGCGCCGGCATCGGCACCCGCAGTCAGCCGGTGTCTGTCCTCATCAGTGAGTCCACAGTGACACAAACAGATGTAGAAATATGAGCGGGCCAAGATGCAGGTGCACTACAGACGAACCTTGTTTCTGTTGGAGGGGGGGGACATTATTACCTTTATAAATAATGGTAAATGGACTGTACAGTCTTTCCGACCACTCAAAGCGCTTTAACACTACATGTCATGGTGCCACCTGCCCATCAGGACTATCTAACATAATATACAACATTCACACACCATTAGAGTTTAGAGTTAAATAGACCAGAAATCAGGGTATGCTTTAGGGCGGGGCTACCTTGTGATTGACAGGTAGCTACGACTGCGTGTGTTTTCACTTCATGAAAGTTAATTGTAACATTCTCGTTGCCTAAAAATGTCTTATTCACTGTCGGTCGTACTTAGCTCCACCCTCTCGTGTCCCATCTGTTCAAAATAGTCCATAAACCGATGAGTGACGTCATAGTGACGATGTCCACTTCTTAGATACAGTCTCCGATCGGTCCACAACTTTAGTCCGGACTGAAAAATCTCAACAGCTGTTGGATGGATTGCCATTCAATTTTGTACACACATTTATGGTCCCCAGAGGATGATTCCTGAGGATCCGAGTCATCAATTAACTTTTCATCTGAGTGTAAACCAGTCGCTAAAATATCATCATCAGGTCAAAATCGAATCGTTCCAATACTTTGGTTTATGACTAGACACTGCAGAACTAATTCCCATCAGGCTCAGCTGTGTTTTGGACTTAGTGCTAGTTAGCAAATGTTAGCACGCTAATATCCTAATTTAAGATCAGGGATGAGGTAAATGGTTTACCTGCTAAAAATCAGCATGTTAGCATTTTCATTTTGACCATGTTACCATGCTGATGTTATTATTTAGCTGCTCTGTTTCTATCATCATTTGTAAATGTCTTATAATGGTACTATTACTGTGGATACATTGTTAGGTTTTAATTGGATGCTCTCTTTGGCTTTAAAGACAATAAAGACATACAAATAAATACACTGAAAATACACTGGCTGGATAAATACAACAGATCAACAGATAACATAGAACTCCTTCAGTTCTTATGATGTTGTCTTATTTTGCCCTCCCCCTTCCCATTCTCTCCCCCCAGAGCTGCCAGCTGAACAGCCCTCCATGCCAGGCGGCGGAGGCGGCGGCGGAGGCGGCAGCACCAGCGACGGCGGCGAGGAGAGCAGCGTGAGTCTGGCCGAGCAGATCACCGGCGTGGTCAAGCAGCCGGCGTTCATCGCGGGCATCGGTGGAGCCTGCTGGGTCATCCTCATGGGCTTCAGCGTCTGGATCTACTGCCGGCGCAAGAAGAGGAAGGAGCTGAGCCACTACACCGCCTCCTTCGCCTACACACCAGCAGGTCAGGAGGAGTGATTCACATGTAGAACGGTACATTATCGATGACTCTGTTGCTGCCGTCTGGCACTTAGGGAAGTCGTGGGATCGGTCATTTGGAAGGTGGCATTGAGATTGTAGTGCAAGGCATTTCTTTTCATACATTTAGGGGCATGTATGATTTATTCAGCAAATAACAGAACAATTACATTCAATAAAAGGAAATGAGAACAGCTGATCTTTGTTTAGTTAAGTATTGTCTTCACTGAACTAAAAGACAAAATAGGCTCCAAAACTGTAACATCCACGAGTCGGTATACCACCCTCATCACTCTCTCTTTGTCTTCTGCAGTTGGTTTCCCTCATGTAGAGGGAACAGTACTCAATGGAAGGTAATTATATCCTGCTGTGTATCTGTAATCTGTTTAAATTCCCAGTAATTCATAGAAATGAATGAATAAATGTTTCTATCCAGCCTTTTGCTTGCTGTTCTTGCTGTATTTCCATCCGGACAGTCCTTGCTGCTGCACTGTGTCCAACCACGTCTTAAATTAAAACCAGAATGTCTCCGTAGGCCCGGCGTGCTGGGAGGCAACATGGGCAACTACCCGTGGCTGGCAGACTCTTGGCCCACCACCAACCTGGTCCACAGCGGCAAAGAGGCAGTCAACTGCTGCACCAGCAATCACGACACAGCTGAGAGATACTACAACGGTAGGAGGATGCTTCCACTCAATAGTTTGGTAGAGACGGTATATGAACGTCCGTCTGTTTCGTTAAGTTAAAGCATCAAAGTGTGGTGATAAGTAGAAGCGCTCAATGCAACAAAACAAAGCAAGAAAAGCTAAACATGACCTCCATCCCCTTGTAGACGCAGGCATCTCCAACTACCTGAATCAGACGGAGAAGTACAGCATAGGCGGCTCCACCGAAGGGCCTATCTACAGCACCATCGACGCCACCAACGAAGACCCGCACAGCTTCGCCTACGCCCAGCAAGCCTCCACGGCTCCCTACGCCTCCACCTCCATCATGCCTTTCACCAACCAGATTCAGGCACCTGTCCACAGCGGCGAGCAGCAGCAGGATGGACACTGGATCGCCCAGCCGGGGCTGTCCGGAGCTCAGTACGCCCAGCCGGACCGCTGCAATGGTGAGGAGGGCACCGTGGACCTACTGCTGTGTTTGGTAGCTCAACAACACAACCAGCGTATTTAGTTCTCAGCGATGCATCTTTTTTCCGACCTTTCTTTCTGCCGGAAGCTTTTAGCTGTTCTAATGTTAATTAGCTTTTGTTATTTTCACATTTATCAATAATTATTTGTTTTAATTTGAGCTGAAATGATTAGTAAAGCGCAAAAATAATTTATCGGCATCTATTTTGATAGCAAAATACCGATAATTATCTACAGTTCTAGCTTCTCAGTGCGACTTCCTGCTCATTTTCGTTGTATGTGACATTAAAGTGAATATTTTAAGGTTTTAGATTGTTGGTCATAGGGCTGGGCAATATTTCAATATTATATTGATATTGTCATACAGGAATAGATAAATCAACTTAGATTTTAGAGATTGTAATATCACATCAATGTCTTTTCCTGGTTTTAAAGGCTGCATTACAGCAAAGTGATGTACCAGGCTGATCTATTGTTTACCTTTACCCAGTCATTATATCCACAGTACTGATGATTATTTATCAAAAATATCTTCATAAATATTTTGTAAAGGTGCCAATATTCCAATTTACAATTTCAATTTCGAGATATTTGGTCAAAAATATTGTCTTTTTCATATCGTCCGGCCCTGGTTGGTCAGATACACAAGCAATGCATTCATTTGGTGCATTTTACCATCAAACTGTGGAATAATCAATTGAGAAAAATAATGAGATTAGTGGACAACAAATATAATAATAAGTAGCAGAGTATCCAATATACTACCTTCTCTGTTCATCTGGTTTTGATTCTACCCTCGGCCTTTGCAGTTGTATGAATTATTTCTTCAGTGATCAAATGAAAGTAGATCTTTTGCAGTAGCATTTCACTCCTAACTCATACCCATTTTCATATCTTCCAGCTGTGATATATGTCATGTGTCAATTATGCTCAAGATAATTCAGCTCAATATAAAAAGGTATCTTCCTCCAGAGAATCATAGTGTTCCTCTGTGTGTTTCTACAGGTAGTAAGCCCAAGCAGAAGGCGATGGGTAAGGCCGTCAAGACCCCGTCTCTGACCTGGATGGAGGCGCTGCCCCCTCCTCCCCCCATTGGAGAGCTGGAACAGAGTGAGCCGGACGACCAGCCCCCCGAGCACGAGGACATGGACATAGGGTGAGTCAGACACACACACATCTATAATTTGTATCACACTGCTGCACCATCATTTAGACTTAGCGTCACCTCTAATAGGCACATTGCGTATCGAACCCAACGCGGCTCTTTTGCCTCCGGCCTTAACAACTCAATTACCTCGGCTTCGGTCAATTGCTTTTAGTGATTAAGCTGTTTTCTCGACACAGTTTGCTGTGTTTCTCCTTTCCATTCGCTCTCTGCAACCACAGAGCAAACTATCATTCTGTCTCACGCTCCTAGCAGCAAAGAACAGCATTAATGTTTAAGTAGCCTCGTGGCCAGCTGGAATCGAAGGCGCCAGTGAGCTAACAGGCTCAACAATGTCGTTTAAGAGCACACACACACGGTTAAGATCCAGCTACATCTCATACACTGTATCATCGAGCTGTGACGCCGCTCTTTGTCTGTGTAGCTCGGACGAGGAGTGGTGTCCCCCCCTCCCGGAGAGGACCTACCTGATGGAGGGCTGCGAGGATGGATCCTGTCCCCCGCAGAGGAACAATGCCTCCTCCCCGGCCACCTCCTACAGCCACCAGTCCACTGCTACGCTCACGCCGTCGCCTCACGAGGAGAGCCGAGCCCCCCATGACCTCCCCCGCCTCAACCACGTGGACGGCCAGCAGCTCTCACGGTATGTGAACTGGGAGCATTGACTGGGAGGTTCATATTCTAATCCACATCAACTCGTCACCCTGAACTCTTCTAATGCACAAACACAGTCGTATGCTTTACTAAACGCAAACCTCCTCTCTGCTTTGTATTAGCTTTTCTCCCTGAAGATTCTACTGTCCACTGTTCTCTGCTCAGTTAACAGAAGGACGCTACGATGCAATGGTCATTATATAATTATTATAATGTCATTTAGTTCAGATAAATCTGTCAACATGGAGAAATTCCTCCATAAAAGAAGGTTCTTTTTTTAGCATTATCTAATTCGCAAAAAGTTATTTAATTGTACCTTTAAGCAACTATGTACATTTTTAAAGACAAAATAAGAAAATCGTCTTGTCACAAATGTTAAGTGCTCAATTCCATTTGCCTCTCCAGCCTTCCTTGGTCTGGTATGACCGGTAGCTTAAAGTGGCTAATGTTAGCTAACTTTAGATACTAAGAGAAAAAGATACACTAATGCATAATGATAATGATAATAATGCATTTTGACACCGTAGCTGCACATTTTACACACATCCAACACAATCATTTTTTAACATTCAGAAGAAAGAACTCGATTGTCGGCAACAATGCACATTGACCATTGTTAGCCAAATGGCTAATCCCATGGCCAGATGTGAAATTCACCATTTAAATAACAATGATGCAGATCGACTGGAAACAGGAGAAGTCCGCCAAACAGAGGATGCAAATCATACACCCAGTTTATTCTGTTTTTGTAAACCTCACTCTGAACCAAAGCTTTGCCTCCATTGATTTGTTCTCTCCAGTAACACGTTGCCCTTGCTTCCCATAGCAGAAGGTTACCCTGCAGTCCACTGCCAGTTCCCCAGGCGCCGAGCCCGCTGCTCACCCAGTCCAACCCAAACCTCTCCGGCCAACAGCATCCCGGCTCACCGGAGGTTGGCACGCTGCAGTGCCAGAGTCCTGCCCATCGCTGCCTCCACAGCCAGGGGCCAGCTCTGAATGAAGACAGCATCAGCGCGACTACACCCGGTAAAGAGACTGACTGACGAGCCTGCACACAACACGCACACACAGAAAGGCACAGTGGCAAATAAGATCATGAGAGCTGAGCATTCATGTACACATTCACCCTGCTGTTGATCCACATGCATTGACTACATCAAATGCTGTGTTGAGTGTGGAGGGATACAAAAACACTCTCTGATTGTTTTTCCTGTCTTCACACAGTGCACGGCCGCTCATCCCCAGCAGATACGTGCACTCCTCCCAACCAAAAATCACGCGTGAAAAAAAAGGTGTCAAAGAGTTCAGCGTACAGAAGAGATGTGCAAGGAGGTGAGTGGGTTCAGATACGGTCGCTTCAGGGATATGGGGAACAATAACGCCTCCATTGTTGACATTTCCTCAAATTGAATACGTGTTATTGAACATATCGGAAAAAGAGTTCCGAAATAAAGCTATTCAGCGTGAATCACATGTTCTCAGAGGCTGAAGCTGCAGCTCTGCTGCAGAAGAGAAAATCTCGTCTGCGCTTTTTTTCTTTTGCTATTCATTGCTCTTTGTCAGTGAGTGAATAAATGCACCCCATGATAACCCAGCACGTACACGCCGATATGCTGTGAGTGAATACCTACAACTCTGCTCCTGGTTCTATGCATGGCTTTGACTTGTGATGTTAGCTTACAGACACACTGCACTCACCATAGCTGCAAATGAGAATTATCTAAAGTAGCACTGCATTGTGGGTCCAGTAACCGATTAAACTGCACAACTGGCTATGAATCACACAATCAGAGCCCTCGGTGTTCATTTGAACACATTTGCTCTGTTTTCTGAAGGAAAGTCTCTCCGGTTCTCTCAGTTATGCACAAACTAAAGACTAAAACAAGAAATCTCTTTTTAAAGCAATGTCAGAAAACAGAAACCTGACACTAAAATCAGTGTCAATGCATGGACTAAAAAAGGCAACAAGAACTCTTCATGCATGTTTTCTTATCCCTCCGCTCTCTGCTTAGACCTGCCCCCACCTCCGGAGCCGCCCCCAGGGGAGGACAGGTTGCGGGGCCCCCAGGGGTGCGTGGAGGCCGGCAACGCGGTGAACGGCGCTCTGTCCTCCCTGGAGAGGAGCGAATACAGCAGCAGCAGCAGCCACCAACGGAAAGGCTCGGGACAAAGACACACCGACAGTAAGGCAGAGTGTAGCATTTCAGTCCTCATTAGGTTTTTACGGGCGGCAGAAGATGACGTAGCACAGAGAGAGCATGTTCCTCCTGAAATGTGTCACTCCTTGTAGAAATCAGAGATGGGATGAAAAAGACAAAACGTGGCCAGTGTGTTAACCACGCTCAGATGTTCAGTGTACACCACGTCTCTGCTGTATCATGCCCTGCAGTACCGTCTCCCACAGTGTGACGCAGCAGAGGAAAAACGAGACTGGCTGGAACACAAAGAGTTGTGTTCGTGACCGGTTGTTGGATCATTGCTTGAATAAATGCCGTAGTCACAAGTATAGATGCAGCTGTGCTCATAAGTTCCTGAAAACCTGCAACACGATGCCTCGCTGTTGCAGGAAATCACAGCTTTTTCAAAGAAAGTCGTACATTTTGGCCTTTTCATTCACTTCATTTGCAGCTAGTAACCATACACCATGCTGGGATTACATATAGACAAGTGGGAGGAATTTACAGGGGGTGTTTTTGCATGAAAACATTCTTACCTAGAGCAGCTTCAAACTGTCATTTCTCCAGCAGATATTTATATTAACCATCATTTCCCTACTAAGAGGCTGCACTGCCTCACAGACTAACAGCCCTCACTGTTACCCGTCTCGTGTCTGTCACTATTGCCTCCTCAGATGAGGAGATGGTGCCGTACAGCAGTAAGGCCGGTTACCTCTCCAGGAGTCAGATGTCCAGTAACTGCTCGACCACAGGAAGCTCCTCATCCAGAGGCTCCACGGGCTCCCGAGGGCTCAACTCGGCCCGGAAACACAACGAGGTAGTATCCAGCAACGCTAATGACTTTATCATTTCACAGTTTCTCTTTGTGCAAGAGAAAAAAAAGTTCTCTTTCCACCTCAAACGTTTTTTTAAATAATTGATGCTTTCAGATATTCATGAGCACAGGAACAAAGACTCTTCCTGCCATGGAGAGGTTCATGTGCTTTACTTATATCTACACGTCATTACTTGCGCTCCATAAAACACACATAATCTCATACATGCAGGCGCATGAAAAGAGCTTTCACATTCCCTTGTTGCCCACACACACACACTCACGCTCATACATACAGATCTACCATTACGTCTACTCAGGATGGGCTTCACAGTCTCTCTCTGGAGTGCACTTCACTGCGGGTGCGCTCCTTTAAATGCAACCCCCTGCAGGCTCTCTAGCGTCTTCATGGCAGAACAAGCTGTGCGGAAAACTCTGCGGGTATTTGGTGCCGGGGAGGCGAGCTAGAGTTTGACGCGTCCCTCCACATTACTGGAGGTAGACTAGGTAGTGACTGATAGAGAGCACAGAGAGTTGTGTAAATCACTTCCCATGGCTCCTTCTGCCCTCACATAGAAGTGTCCTTGAGTGAGACACTGACAGGCTGACTCAATGGCAGCTTCGTCTCCATCAGTGTCTCAGTAAATGAGATTGTAAAGCGCTTTGTATGTTGAGGTAGAAAAGCGCTGTATAAGTGTGGCCCATTGACCAAATCAGATCTATAAAGTGTTTCCTGTTTTGCTCAAGTGCAGAGAAAATGAGAGAAGCTTCAGATGTCTCTACTTCTAGAGAATCAGGACATTATTAAATGTTAAGAGTTGCCATTCATTGCGTATAATGTTTGCAATATGATTTCAACATCCAATTTTCCTTTTTTTTTCTTTAAAATGTATTCACAGTTTGATTGTCCATCTTTTTATTTATTTATTCAGGACTTTCATTCGAAAATATAATATCACACTGAAAACAAATATTCCGCTACAAGTAGAAGTCCTGCTGATCCCAGAAGGGTTCTAACTGTTTATTAAGTAAATAAGTAGCACGATCTTCTAAGCCCATAAAGAACAACTCATCCTCCAGAAGAAAACAAACCAAATGAAATCTACGTGCTTTGATGAATGGAATGAAAAACTGCAATCCGAGTTCATTAGATTACAAATATTGGTCGGAGGAAATATCTGTAGTTACTTCCCGCCTCTGCTTTGAGTTTACTTCTAGGCAACATGAGTTATATTGTCAGTATAGCAACAATCAAACAGGTTGTTATAAGTCAGATCTAGAATCTACTCTGAGAGGAAATGACGTTGGGTTTATGAGAAGTGAGCAGCGTGGCAGCTTTGATGCTCTCTTTAGTGCGGCAGCTGTTAGCTTTAATGCTGTAACCTGAGGCGTCACCATAAAGCCGACTGTGTGTGCAGAGAGAAGGGATGGCCCTGTCCCGGGTCAGTCCACGATGACCTCAGCACATATCCGACATGGGAATGTAGCAAAGCAACTTGTAAAAGTGACACGCACACACATCCAATTGCTCCTTTCACTTGCTCTGAACACATACACACACAGGGGTCCCTTGTATCTCGAGCCTCTCAGGTCACCCCCACCTGTGGAGCAGTAAGGAACCCCCCCCCCCTCTCAACTGACCTTACTGGCCTTTTCACGCCTTCCCAGGGACATGAAAGCTTTGCAATAAATTTTGGGGTATTTCTACAGGAAACCTGGGTTAGGTTACCCTGGCCCCCTGTGGTGCTGCTGACTGCTATCTCTGCCCTTTGACCCCGGCGGACAACCAGGCGCTTGTTGCTGTCCTCGGGTCTGTTACATCAGCTCTGAGGCTGCTCACACAATACGCATGTGTATAAAAGAAAGGGATAACAAATATGGAGTCATCAGTATTAGAAGGATGTAGATGAGACACACAGACACGGTCACACAAACTCCAGCCCACACAGAGATTCTGTTCTACTGCCATCACTCCGGTTTAGTTTTTTCTTGAATTTAGATAACATGACGGCGTGATGTGCACGGTCAGCGTCTGGTGTGTGTGTCTATTGTCACGCCATGCCAGCTGTCCAGTTTACACAGACTCTGTCTCTTCCTCCGCTGGCCCCCCAAATGGTTCCGTTATAGAACAGCGAGGCGGAATTATGGCGCGACATTCTGTCCTTGATCACCTTTAAGTCTCTGCTGTGAACCAGGATTGTTGTGGGTTGCGCTGCACCACATTTGCCCTTAAGGGTTCTAGATCAAATAAGATAGAATGAAATATGAAAGGGTTATCGGTAGATCCCCTGGGTCGGCTCTTGTTAGCTTAGAAGGTGGAAATGTTCTGGATAGAACCTCCAGAGAGGGTTCTTGCTGGAACCATGTCACTATAAATGGGTTATCTGTAGAACCTCTCTTAGGGGTCTCCAGGTGGAACCTTTCAGAGGTGGTTCAAGGTATAACCCTTTATGTTGGGTTCTAGGTAGGACTCTCTGAAAGGGTTCCTGGTAGAACCTGCCAGGAACCAAACAAGTTTATCCTATGATGAAAAGCCTAAGAACCATATATGGGCACTGGCTGCTTTGGGAAACATGTAAAAATGTAAAAAATGTGTCATTATTGGAACATGGAGAGGAAATAATATTGACCAATCGTGATTCTAAACCACGGCCAAAATGAGTCTTCTATTGCAGTCTGCTTCCTGCTTATGTGTCAAAACGTAAGCAAGAGTACATGAGCAGACATTTGCCTGAGTTTATCGAAATCAAGCCGTGTTCTATGAAATCAAGCCGTGTTCTATGTAGTAGTTACAATTTTTATTGATGTTGAAATACTTTTTTCTTCCCAGGAAATGAGATAAGGACACCAGTGACTCTGTCGACGCCTCCATCACCACTGTGGACACAAAGAGCTGGGAGGAAGAGGCTGTGGTTCAGGATACTAGACTCGCTGTCATCGCTGTGAAAGAAAGCAACAACGGACTTTACTTCATGTTTCTTTGAGTATTACTACGATTATTTAAGGGCAAACGAGTTCATTCCTCTGATTTGTAAATATCTGTGTCTGTACTGTTCTTTTGTGGGCTCTGGATACAGGGAGAGAGACGTATATTGTATTTATGAGGATAGGAAAAAAAACAAAAAAAAGTCTGTAATAACAAGAAATATAGCTCATGTCTTCTTGAATGTGCCAACCTTTTTTTGTCAAAATGTATAGTTTTTTGGAAAAAGCATTAACTGCTGTTGCACTCTCTTGTTGTCATGGCAAACGCAACAGAAAATATGAAGCACAAAGTGTGATGCTGGTCGGAAAAGCCAAAACGAGCGGGTTCTCGCTCTCGGAAGAGGACGCCTCTGCCCCCCCCCCCCGAGCGCTCTCCCACCGGGATCCCTGCACCCATCTTGTCCGCTAAGAATGTCGTACTTTTCTATATTCCCCTCGGTTCCTCTGCAGCAAAACGGTCCAGTGTGCCAGCAGACAGACAAGCTTTATAAAAGTTTGATTGTAACCCCCGCCCCCCTGCTCCTCCCCTTGGTCGTCTGAGGGACCGTCTGCTGCAGTTTTGAGATGACATTTGCATATTCTCCTTCCAAAACAAACAGAAACCATGTCTGTGGACTGACTTTTTTTGTACTCTTGTTGTTTTGTAAATGTACAATAAAATACATTTGCTGATCTAAGCTGTACTCGTTTCTTTGGAGCAGCGTTCAGGAGGTGCAGGACCCAGGTCTCACACTTTTTTAGTGCTGTGAAGTTTTACCTTCCGTTATCTGGACAACACCGGCGTCACAATGAGCAATCTGTAAGATATGTGGACCTACACAGATAAATGCTTCTAGAAAGAAAACAGAAGATAAATGGATGCAGAAACATTCGTCATGTAACATCCAGGAGTATCAAACACCGGTTTGTCAACTCCATATTAAAGCAACACTCATGCCCACGTGTGTGTACGTTGCCACAGGTTTCGGTTGCTGTAAAACCTCGTCCTGTCCACACTAGCCATTCCAATGTAAGAGCTTGTGAACAACGTCTGCATCCTTCTTCTGTGGTTACAAGTTCAGCTATAGCCAACACCAGGCATCAAAACAAATCAACTATCTCTCTTGTAAAGATGGAATTCAATCCCTATGTTTCCCTGGACTCAGATTCTTTCATGAGCTGCAGTGAAGGGAAAGTAAAACAAACAGGAAATGAAATGATCAGAAATACTGTAAATAAGTGTCTCATATTTGCTTCAGCTAAACTTTGTGACTGTGGATTTAGTCCATCTCTCAGAATCAAACAAGGAGGTGACCTCTCTTGTGGACATGTAGCACATAGAATACAAAATGTGATAAACTAATATAAAGATGCATGTTTGTTTTTGCATATGTGCTGATGAGTTAACCTTTAAAGCTCATTCACACCTTAATGTCACATGAGTCATGGAGGTCTCCAGTGTCTTGAAGGACACCTGAGAGTTATCAGTCACATCAATTAAGGAGTGAAACTGAACAGACTAAAATTACAAAGGCGCATTGTGAATTACACTTCGAGGTGATGCTAATTTGTTGTGGATAACATTTGCTTTTGACGTATCAGAAATAAATTTCATCTGAGTCCGCAGAAAAAACGTTAACCACGTGTTTGAAACTGCGACTGTAATCCAGGAAGAGATTCCAGTACAGCACTGAAAACAGCGATGTCTCCGCTTCCTCTCCTGTTCCACCACCATTCTTAGGGTATTATTCGGCCAAATCTATCCATAAAGATTCAGATCTGAGATTCTTGGTATACAGTAAGTCATATAAGCAAAATGAAGGCTGACAACTGTGTAAGCGTGTGTGTTAGCACAAACTTCTACGAGCTCCTGAAGCAAATCCAAAATATTCAACACCTAAACTTCTTGTAGCCTTCAACTCCCTGACCGTACTCTCCAGTCAGACCTAAATAAATAAATAAAAACGGCCTTATTGCTGAAGTTGTGTTTGCTTCTTAATCTCCCGACGCCCCCGGTCGTCCTCCAACTTCACAGTGCATTGCACCTGGGCTAGTGCTGTACGCCCTGAGGAGCATGAAATTGCCAAGCTCTCAACTCTGAGAGTACACCACACACTCCCTCCTGCTGTCCGACTGAGACAGGGCATGCATCGCCCTCTGGTGCTCTACAGATGCTTGCTGTGTCGTGGCACTGACTCTCAGCCTCAGCTACACGTCTGGATGGAGAGGCCCGGGGTGTATTCCTCCTCTCGGTGCTCTGTGATCAGCTGAAAGGAGCACGATGAGATGCTGCAGCACCAGCCTTGCTGCAGTCCACACATGGAGGCGGAGGAGGTGGCAGCAGAGGGAACACTTGGGGGGAAACAGAACATCAAGAGACATGTAGGAGGAATGAGATTTAGATTGATTGACATGGCTGTTTAGGGTCTGATATAAGGACTAATAGGACATACTTTTCATTCATTGTAGGATTTCTACATGATCTACTGTAAATCTGTATGAGTTGAATTGGTCAAACCATGGAAGGCAGAGGGTCAACACGAGCGATGACCACAAGAGCGCGAAGAGTCCACAGGGAGGGAAAAGGACAAATGATAATCCAGCAACTGGAACAGGGCAAGCAGGGGAGTATAAGTAGGTGAGGGGTGATGAGCAGATTGCCGGCAGGTGAGTGGAAATGAGTGGGGTTTGCAGAGGGAAAAACCAGGGGCAGGTGATTTGGCACAGGTGGAGAGAATGAGCATGATCAGGAGAGACACACACTCACACACACACACACACACACATAGCAAAACCCAACCGTGACAAAAAGTTCTTAGATCACTGGCTGTATTACTGCCAAATGAAGATTTCTTGTTTGATGTTTCTTTGAGAAATTATCGATAATTGCTATTTACTGTAATTGATTTTAGCCCAAAAGATAGAACTTGTATGGTTTTTTGAAACACAGCAATTTATTTCAAAAAGGACTAAAACTGTCTTATCATCCACTGAATGGTCTGTTTGGCTGCTGCTGTAAGAATCTCAAGAGGTCAGAAACGTCATCCTGTGTGCCATCTTTAAGGTTTTCAGAAGGATCAGATGTTTTATTTTCATGATGTTACTCAAAAGCCCTGAAGGTTTTTTAAAGTCTTTTTTCCTTGTAATTCTTCTGGGTAGGGAAGTCACACGTGTTCTACGTCCTTCCACAGATTATAATGCATATTAGGTTGTTAGCGTTCATGAGCCTGTGGAATTAAAAAACAAACAAGAGCAAAGGACAGCCGATAAGAACGATGAGAAGATTTACGTGACTGACCTTCTGCAGCGTGAACCCACACCCCTTACCCTTTCCATGCCCCCCTTCACTTCCCTCTACCCCTCCATCCCTCCCGTCCTCTCCCTTTCCCTCAGCCATAAATCACCGCGCTCATTCATTAGGCCAGTGTCAGGGCCAGAACGCCCACCGGGCCTGACAGAAGAGGGCCGGCGGCCTGAGAGGAGAGAAAAGAGACAGAGACAGAAAAGGCAGGATGAAAAGGAGGGGACGGCGTCATTCAGAGCCCTGTACCCTCATTCCAAAATGCAAACACATCAATTTCCATGTTAATTTTCCCCGTGACAGCGGAGATGGATGTTTGTGACTTTTTGGCTGATGTGATGCATACATAGAAGTTCAAATGAAGCCATTATGTTGGCAGCAGGGTGTAAGGTAAATGATCGAGAGGCTTGCAGTGCAACAAAACACATTTAAGATGTTACAAGATGATCAATATTTCACCCTTTTATTTTGTATTAATATATATGTTTAAATATGTAATTGTTCAACAGACAGCACACTACAGACCAGGTCATCTTGCTGCATGTTCACTGGCTGCAAGTCACTTGTTTCCCAGAGACAAAACAAACACTTTTAGTGATAAGATTTTGTTTGTTCATCATATAATCATCACCTCAGTATCTGTCAATACAACAAGAGTACCTGTCGGTGTAGAAGCCATCTGGTGAAGCGCCGCATCGCCCACCCACTGCAAAGAAGTAGTACCATCTAATTAAACACTATGTCGTTTTACGAGATTAATGAAAAAGAGAAACAAACAAACAAAATGTCTAAAAAGCCATTTTTTGTATACAATATCTATCTATTCATTTATTATATATCTATTACCTGATACAGGGCAGTGACAACAGGCTGAAATAAAATAAAATGTAAAACGAACAGGCACATATGGATAAATCTGGTGTCCATAGTACATGGGTGCGTTGACCCAGTGCAGGGTAGTCGGGCCCCAGTGCACACTATTATGATGGGCCCCAGTCAGGCGGCAACCTCTGGTTCTGAGAAGTGAAGTCAATGCTGAAGTACTTTAAACATGCATCCTCTCTAATGTCCATCAGAATCAGAATCAGAATCAGAATCAGAATCAGAACCAGAACCTTTTATTGCCATGGTATGTTGAACATACAAGGAATTTGACATTACGGGAGGTGCAAACATTTAACAAATTTTGACAGTGTGGCTTCTACTGCCCGAAGACGTCGCAATATATAGCTACACACGCTGATGTTACCGGTAGTATCGTTGAGGTTCGATTGAGATATCGCTTCTCTCTTTTCTGCATTTTAGATTCATACTCTTGGATTCAATCTTGTTCGTGATGGACAGTCCACAAATGGCTCCCGTCATTTCTGTACTGGAGATATACATCTTTGTTTGAGAAGCCTTTAACGCTCCCATCATTTCTATACAAACCTCATTCTGAGCTTCATGTTAAGATACAGTTACTCTATGGGGCTTTTATTTTGAAAGGGTGGGACTGGGTGGGTGAGAGAGGATGGAGAGGAGACATATTCATAATGTTTGACACACAAACACAGAGGTTATTAAATGTCTCTGTGGGGCTTTTACTTTTAAATGGGAGGGGAGGGGGGGGGGGGGGCGGGGTTCTCTAAAAATATCTAAGACCTGAATGACTGTATGATAGAGAGAGAGAGAGACATAAAGAGAGACAGAGTGATGAGTCAGAGACAGACAGTTTAAGTTTAACAAGGCAGACTGATTAAGAAACATTACAGTAATCAGTGATTTTGAACAAAACCTCCTTTTAACAAATTAGCAGGAGACTGAGTGCCAAAATATGGATACCGTGAGAAAGATAAGACTCTGCCGAACGCGTTGATGTGGTTTTTATGATGAGAAAATGAGTGGTCAGGTTTAACATGGAGTCTAATGGAGCAGTTGGTTGGAGTTCATGTCGCTCTGCGGCTCTTTGAACCAAATGTGTAAGTCCGTTGGATTCCACAGACACTTTACTGCGACCAGCACAACATTTCCAAGCTTTTGGGGCAAAATGGTGAATAAAGAGTAAAAATTGTGGGAGCTGGAGCAATTTGTTTGGAAAAATCACAGAATATGCTCTCACTCTAGCTCTTAACGAGCCGTGCAATACACACCCATTATAAAATCTGAAACGGACCCAAAATTTTCCTGAAACTTAATCTGTGACTGTGTGTGTTCTCATATACAGTTTGTGTCGTGCACAAGGGCCACAGACTGTGAAGTGGGCGTAGTGGACCCTAACCCATTGGTTTATAGACTATGGCTTTGATGTGTCGATTTTGGTATTTCAGCCGAGGCCGTAACTCAACACATTGTTGACCAGAGTTGACCAGCAAACCCCATGTCTTAGTGAACATGCTAATGTTCAAGACACTGGGGCACTCCGTGTTTGTATGCGTGTGTGTGTGTGTGTGTGTGTGTGTGTGTGTGTGTGTGTGTGTGTGTGCGTGTGTGTGTTGGAGCAGTCAACTGGCCCTGTGTGACTGACAAGGCAATATTGCAACAGATCAGCCATACGGGGGCCATTGATTTCCAGTTAATTGAATGATTACCACTTTAGAATGCAACGCCACAGTTAACCACTGCTGCCCATCAATGTGAGCGTGTCACTGCCACCTGAACTGCCGCCTGCATGATGGGAGGAATTAGTTTACATGGACACAGCCCAGTTCCTGTAGTCACACTGGAGCAGTGCTGCCTGGATTATGTGCTGCTGTGTCTCTGTTATCTATTTTCCTCTCATGTTATATTCTATTTCTGTCCTTACACTCTATTTGTGTCGATTCCCTGTAGAATCCTATTCATTTTGTGGCCGAAAACTAACCTCATTTCCACACAGATCAATAAAGTTTCATCGTGTTGTGTCAATAGTGGCGCCTATAAAGTAATTGGATGGAAACTAATGCCTTGGAGTTGGGAGTACGTAAATGTAAAATTGTAAAACTGCCAAATGATTTAACACAGGCAGGTTCCACATAAGTGTTATGTAAAGTGTTAAAAGGGTCTAGATTGATGACCAGCTAATTACACTCACACGCTGCTGCCCATGTGTTTATGTCTGGCCTTAGAATGGTAATTATCCATTCGGTTAAATAACAGACTGCAGGGAAGACATGCAGTAAATCTACATGTATGCGTGCCCATGTGTGTGTGTGTGTGTGTGTGTGTGTGTGTCCATGGTTTCAGGCCATGTCTAATATGGGTCATCGGTTTGCTGACTTGCTACATAAAGCTGGTATCTTGACATACACCAAAATCTGTGATGCACAAATCCCAAGGGCTGCGAGCAAGCATGTATCTGTGTGTGTGGTTGTGTGTGTGTGTGCAAATATAAAAGAGAAAGACAAGCAGACATAAAGTAGTGCTTGATTCATTACTATGTGGGTCTCATAGCGTGTGGTCTGGTCTATCAGTGAGCGTGTGTGCTGCTGAGAGGAGCTGGGGGCTTCATGTAGAAACATATGGCCTTTAGTGAAGGAGACATATGAAGGATAATCTCTTCGGCAGTCCACCACAGAGACACACACACACACACACACACACACACACACACACACACAGAGAGACACACAAATAATCCACTACTTGCTGCTTTGCATAAAGATTAAATACACTTGACATGATGTTTGTGGTGGAAAGTCTG